GCAGGAAGCGTGCGTGGAAGGGGACGTCTGACGGCTGAAGTCAGCCTCCTCTGCCGGGCGCTCACCGCTCCCCTGTCGCCCTGGTGGGGGTGTCCGTGGAGCTGGCATGAAGGCAGGCTGGCTCGGTATCTGAGCACCTGTGCGCTGTATGCTGTATCTGAGCAGAGTGCCTTTTGCCCTCTCACCTGTGTTTGCAGTAGGAAATAGAATTTGGGGTAATGCAGACAGTGACGGTGCTGGAACTTAAGCTGGGCGTGGTGAAGTGTGAGCTGTCCCCGTGCTCCTGTGTCCTCACTGAGGCTCCCTGGCAGAGCCGCCCCGCCGGCATATTAAGTGAAGGCTCTGGAAATGAGAAAGCGGACCCATCTCGGGGAGAGCAGTGCCTTGGATACTGATATATGATGAGGGGTCTGGGGTCCACATAGAGAAGTCCTCCTTACGTTAATACCTATAGTTGCCCTTTGTCCAGTTAAAGGTAAAACTGAATTTGAACGTTTGTATTTCTTACCAAGGAGTTCATAATCCGAGTTAAGCTTTCTTTCAGGTTTATTGGATTAATGATCCCAAATGCTCTCCCTGTAGCTCCACAATGAGCAGCTGATTGTTGGTGGAGGGGGTGAGTTTTATACTTAACATTTCTACCTTCCTCATGCATCTTCCCCTCCTGTTCCCTGCCTGGTTGGCACACAGGGCACCTCTAGTATGAGAGGTGCAGGGATTCTGCCTGCTTTGCAGCCATGAAGGAGACGGACCGGGAGGCTGTTGCAACAGCGGTCCAGAGGGTTGCTGGGATGCTTCAGCGCCCGGACCAGCTGGACAAAGTGGAGCAGTATCGCAGAAGAGAGGCCCGGAAGAAGGCCTCTGTGGAGGCCAGATTGAAGGTATAAGACCAGAGTGGCCACGGGCACCTGCTTCACTCCCAGGCGGGACAGGGCCTTTTATTTCGCCCTTCAGGTTCCTGCTTAACAGCATCATTGTGAAGATACGAAGAGAGACAGACTTGAAGGCTACCTTTACTTAGGACTTTCCTTCCAACAATATACTGCCAATCAGTAGATTTACAGGGAAGGCGATGGGAGTATTGAGAGCACTGAAGGAACCTTTTTAAGCATGGAAGTATGCATTTCACTTTTTGAAAAGCACTAGAATAATAACAGCTTTTCTTATTTATTGAAAGCTCTTCTACCAGCGGTCTCCAGAGGGCATTTTGTTTAGATCATTCAGCACACACAGCAGTAGGCTGACTGTGCCAGGCGCTCTGCGGGCTGCGGGGTAGGAAGTAGAAGAGCTATTCACATTTATTAGAGTGTGTGAGAGTGAGGCAAAAAAGAAAACCAGTCTTTTATGATTTCGATTGGCTTTCAACAATTCATGTGGAGAGATGAGGTTTTATTAAAATAATGCACATCTGATATGGTTATAAAAACGGTAATATAGGAGCCTGCTGTAGTGGACTGGCAACGCAACAGTCTTGAGGATTTAAGAGATTGCCTCTGAGGAAGTTAATTCTCACACGGATATGGCGATGAGGTCACGTCTCTGAAACATCACGTCATTAGCATCCAGGTAATGGCAGGTGTGATGAGACAGGAGGAGGATCCTTCATTTGTGCCATCGAAGCAATCAAAGACCTGTTCGACTAATTTGAAACAATTTCATATCAATTTAAAAAACAGTTGGGACTTGTTATATTTTTATTCAGAAATTTAGTCTGTTTTAGAATCTCGTGGGGTTAACTAACGGTCATCAGTAGTGACTTAGAAACCTTGTGCGGTCTGTTGTTAATTACTCTGAAACGCAAGTTAGCACTCCTGGGTGGAAGGTGTTCTTGGCTTTGGTTGTGCTGCCTGGGCTCTCCCTGCCTGTTCTGTCCACATGCTGCTGCTCCTTCTTGCCCTCTCCCTTCTGCCTCCCTCTCCCTTCTGACTGTGCAGCTCCCCGGGGGGCATTTCCTGGGCCCTCAGTGTGAGTCTGAGTCTCACACGTACCAGTTCTGTGCAGTGGGGCCGGCCATCCTGGGGCTGAGCCTGGTTCTGGCTGAATGGCTGGACACCCCTCTCCCCTCAGGTTGATGAGCAAATCCTGACAGTTTCTCCCTCTAGACAAGGCCTGTTAGGAAACCGAGGGTTGCCCGGGAGATCATATTTAGAGTCCTAAGGATGCCATTTCAGGGGCCGCCACCACTTGGGGTGTCCCCACGGTGGTGTCCCACATTTTCAGGCTGAAGGCTAGATGAGGAACTGTGAGGTTTTCCCAGCAAAGCTGTGAAAGCCTGGTTCTGTGCTAAGGCAACAATGAAAAAAGAAGTTCCCCGTGACTCAAATCCTTATTGGACTTTACTCTCTGCTCTGGGCATTGACTATTCCCTGCTCTGAAGCGTCTCTTCCCTGCATCTGTCCATGGCTGTCCCAGTTCCACTTACCCCCGCCCCGCGCATGTCTTCCGTAGGCTGCAATCCAGTCGCAGCTGGACGGGGTGCGCACAGGCCTGAGCCAGCTCCACAGCGCGCTGAGCGATGTCAAAGACATCCAGCGGTCCCTGGCCGACGTCAGCCAGGACTGGAGGCAGAGCATCAACACCATCGAGAGCCTCAAGGACGTGAAGGACGCCGTCGTGCGGCACAGCCAGCTTGCTGCAGCCGTGGAGAACCTCAAGAACATCTTCTCAGGTAGCGGACTGGGCGGGGCCACTGTGCTCCCCACGGCTCACATGTTTGCTTGCTCTGTGGGAGATACGGGAGTGGTGTGTTTGTGAACCTGCTTGGAGTGGGTGAGAGGTGTGATTTTTGCCTGCACAGTCAGGTTCTTGTTTTGAACGGGGGTGGATGGTCAGTTGAGTAGGTAAAGACTAGAAGGTGGCTCATGGTTCTGGTTTGTCAGGACAGAGGCACCGCCATGGGTAACAGACAGGCGCCGCGTAAGCGGCCTTCCTCAGCTGCAGGGCAGCTCCCCCGGGCCCTGCTGGTGCAGGGGAATAGAGGTGTAGCACACATCTGGGAAGAGCTCGCAGTCTGTGAGAGAAGCAGCGCTGTGTCCAGGCAGAGGGAGGGTGTGCACAGGACAGAGGCAGGAGAGAGAGGGGACACGGGGTGGGGCGTGCCCTGGAGTCTCTGTCAGTATTGGAGCGGGCCTGGCGGGGTCCTCCGGCCCGGCCGAGGGGAGGGCCTACGGGCAAGAGGGCAAGGGAGGGACCTTTGAGAATCAGCAGGAGGAGGAGTGTCCGTGGCCTGTTTGGGATCAGTGTTGGCAGGAATCCCCTTCTGGGGCTCCTGGTTATGTTCAGCATGGCCCCCCTCAGGCTCCATCCCCAGGGTCTGTCCCTCCACTTGTTCCCTGGCCTCTGCCAGGGTCACCAGCATCCCAGCAAGAAGCCCTGGGATGGTCTAACCCTTGCCTTCCCTTATCTCTTGTCTGGTCTCAGCAGGTTCTCTCTGGCCTTCCCCAGACATGTCTGCACTTCCCCCAGCTCTGCTTAGCCCTGAGTGTTCCCTTCCACTTAACCACTGCATGGTGGCCTTGCTGCTGCCCTGTCACACTGTGGTAGTCTGCGTTCTGTTCCACCCCATTCTTCTGGACCCCACGCCTGTGTCTGCCAGCAGCATCGTTGAGTGCATGGCCCCATTCCCCTGTGCATGCCCGTCTTCCTGAGGCTGTGTTCCGGGGCCCTTCTCAAGTCTCTCGGGAGTGACACCACTGCTGACTCCGCAGTGGGTGCTCGGGGGCAGCTCCTCTCGGTGACTGTTAGCTGCCTGGACTGGGACTGTCTCCCTGCCAGAGTCTCCTTCGTGACGTCTCGCAGCCTTCTTGGCCCACTTCTCTTCTCCTGTCGTTCCTGTTGGCCGGCAGCACTTCCTGCAGTTTGTGAAACTGCACAGTACCTGTAACGTGTGCTAAGTGAGGCTGAAGAAAGCAAGGTGTGCCTGAGCTTGCTCTGCCCCTTTCTTCCTTTTCTGGGGCTGCCGCGGTCTGCACTGGGTCTGCACTGGGTCTGCCAGATGGTGTCCCCCGGGTCCCTCGGGCTCCGTCCACTCTTTTTCAGTCCTTTTTTCTTTCTGTTCTTCATACTTGGTCATTTCTCTTGTCCTGTCTTCATGTTTGCTGACTTTTTTCTTCTGCTTGTTCAAATCTGCCTTTGAATCCCTAAAGTAAGATTTTCACTTGAGTTATTGTACTTTTTTACCACCAGAAGTTTTTGGTTTCTTTTAAGGTTTCTTGTCTTCTCATGGGTATTTCCATTTTGTTCATGTATCCTTTTCTTGACTTCCTCCACATTTTCCTTTTGTTCTTTGAGCATCTTTGAGTTGTTCAGAGATCTTGTTTTAGTCCACGGTCTAGTCTTTCTCAGGGATGGTTTCTGTGGGTTTATTTTCCCTTTGAATCTCTGTGCTTCCTTCCGTCTTGTGCGCCTTGTGACGCTCTTGTTGTTAAACACCAGATGTTTGGGTCCAGTATCGTGGTGACTCTGGGAATCAGATTTTCCTCTTTCCCAGGGTATGCTGGCTTTTGTTTTTTGTTTTGTTTTTGATTGTTGTAGGCTGTCTCTGTTGAGGAACAGGCTGAGGTGTAAACTCAAGGGTTTTCTTAGGTCTTTTCTGAAGCTGTGCCTTTGCTGGTCATTTGCAGTCACTTTCTGAGCTCCCCTGTAGATGAGGCTGCTTTTGAATGTCTTGGTCTTTAGCATCTGGTTTCCAAAAGGGAAAAAGAGAAAAACGAAGGGGAAAAACGGCAGCAGCCCTTTAAACCCCCTGGAAGCCACTTCAGCCAGAGGTGGATGCGCAGCAGCGGCCCCGCCTCTGTGTCGGCACCTCTGTGACCAGAGCAGCGGTCAGCAGCCGGAGCACAGATCCCCAGCGTTTGGAGGACAGCATCCTTCTTGCCAACCTTGGCCCCCTTAAGCTGTCTGCAAGCTGCTCCGGGAACACGTGGCAGGGGTGGTGGGGATGAGGGATGGGGGGTGGGTAACTGCTACTGTGCTAAGAGCTGAAATACACCCAGATCGCCCACAATTCACTGTCCAGGCCTCCCCTGGAAGCCTCAAGGGCCCAGTAGACTCTGGAGTTCCGAGTTACTTAGATTCTGTCCGTGCAGGGGTCGTGCAGGTGGGGGCGGACTCCCGGGGCTCCCGTCCCCGCTGTCTGCCCAGAACCTGCGTGGTCCCTCATCTGGGCTTTCTCAGTGCTGTTGTGTCTCTACCCTAGTGCCCGAGATCGTGAGGGAGACGCGGGACCTCATAGAGCAAGGGGCACTCCTGCAGGCCCACCGGAAGCTGATGGACCTGGAGTGCTCCCGGGACGGGCTGCTGCATGAGCAGTACCGCATGGACAGCGGGAACACGCGCGACATGAGCCTCATCCACAGCTACTTCGGGAGCACGCAGGCGCTCTCGGACGAGCTGGCCAAGCAGCTGTGGATGGTGCTGCAGAGGTGCCTGGGCACTGTTCGCCGGGACCCCACCCTGCTGGTCTCAGTCGTCAGAATCATTGAAAGGGAAGAGAAAATCGACAGGCGCATACTTGACCGGAAGAAGCAGACTGGCTTTGTGCCTCCAGGGCGGCCCAAGAACTGGAAGGAGAAGATGTTCACCGTCCTGGACAGAACTGTGACCACGAGGATTGAGGGCACGCAGGCAGGCACCAGGGAGTCCGACAGGATGTGGCTTGTTCGCCACCTGGAGATCATACGGAAGTACGTCCTGGATGACCTCATTGTCGCCAAGAACCTGATGGCCCAGTGCTTCCCTCCCCATTACGAGATGTTCAGCAACCTCCTGCGCATGTACCGCCAGGCCCTGAGCACACGCATGCAGGAGCTCGCTGCGGAAGACCTGGAAGCCAACGAGATCGTGAGCCTGTTGACATGGGTCTTGAACACCTACACGAGGTAACCGCGCCCTCGCACTGTGTGCTTCTTGTCTCGTCCAGCTGTGAGACGTGCCGGGTCGTCTCACTCAAGGCGTCTGCTGGCTCATGGGTCTCTCTCCTGGCCTGTCTGCTCCCCAGGCCGGGCCCCGCCCTGCGGGCGCGTGCTTTGGTGTGGGTGGTGCCTAGGCCCTGGACTTCAGCTGTGCTGACGCCAGGTACTCACCGCGCTGACCCGCTTCCTCCCGTGGTAGCACCTGAGCAAGGGGTGGGGGGGTCACCCACTGGTCCCGTGACGCCCCATGACCTGCACAGAGTCATCTGGCTTCTCCTGGCTCTGACAACCCTGCGTTTGCTTTCTTCCTGCCGCTGTGCTGGGAAGACCAGTGTCTTTTTTGCATTTCAGCCTTAAATTAAGGTTTTGTCGTAAAAGGGGCGCGAGCCACTTTGTGCACGTCTCAGCTTGAGGGAGGGTCTGAAAGGCCCTCCCCGTGGTGGCGGTGCTTGAGGAGGGGCCTGCAGAGGGGAGGACACAGTATCCCAGCCTGTCTTGTTGCTACTTAGAGCTTAAGTAAGCCTCTCATTCTAGCAGGAGATTTTGGGGTATTTCTGTTCGTGTTTTGTTTCTCGGTAACTATTTATAATAAAGGATATGTGCATTTTCCACAGAACATTGTAAAGGAAGGAACCGTGACCACCATGGTGGTGCGGCTTTACCGTGTGGGGCCCGGGCCTCATCGCCTCCTGAGCTGCCCCCCGTGATCTGGGGTTCCTGCACGCGGGTCCCGGTGGGCCACCCCTGAGGGGCACAGCCACCGTCCCGTGGACTTGAGGGATTTGAGGCACAGGGAGGACCACCCCCGAGGGCGTGCGGCTGGGGCTGGGGAGCAGGTTGGAGTCCGGGCTCTGGGCGTGCCTGTGCTCCGGCCCAGCCGCTGGGTGAGCGCTGTGCGCCCGCGCGGTTCATGCAGCACGTCCTAGGTGGTGGTCTGTCATTTGAAACTTCTCTGACAGCTTCGTGTGGGTCACCACGTTCTGTCACGTGGGACTTCCTCACAAGGAAAGTTGAACTGCTTTCATGCTAGACACATTTTCAGGCTGAATTACAGTTCTTGGGCAAAAATAATCTAGATGGTAAACAGTTTTTTAGCATTTGCAGACTTTCGTGCAGAATTTTCTCACTCAGGAGGACCTTAGATTTCTTGTGGGTAGTGGATTAGCTGTTAGTACTGTCATTCCAAATTCTTGTGGATAAGGCATGAATTTTCCGAGCAGTCGGACCTTGGACTTACAGGAACCCAGCCACACCCCTAGGTATTAGCTGTCTTTTATAAAAATGTTTTTCTGAGGCTCGGTCCACATCCCTGTCTTCCTAGGCACTAGACGCTCTTCCTTGCTGCCTCATATGTCAGCATGAACATCACATGCTCTCTGCTCCGGTCCTTGGGTCCTTGTCACCTTGCAGGGATCAGCAGTGTCAACCTTAGTGCTTGTCTGTTGTTCCCTGACCACAGCACTGCTGTCCTTTCAGCACCTCCTGTCTGCCAGGCCCCAGTCTCCCTGGAGGCACCCCTGGGGGAGCAGACGCCTTGCCCCTGGCGGCCAGGCCTGCCTCCCCTCGCACCGCCTTGAGGGTGGCTGGGCGTTTGCATGTCTGAAATGGCAGCAGAGCGGCTGTTGGCCTGCAGCGGGTCTGTCTCACCCCGGGTCTTCCCCGTAGTGCGGAGATGATGGGCAACGCGGAGCTGGTCCCGGAGGTGGACGCCAGCAACCTGGAGCCTTTGCTTTCTCCGAACGTGGTCTCTGCGCTGCTGGACACGTACATGTCGACGCTGACTGTGAGTGGGAGGCGAACGTCCCAGGCAGGCGGTGTCTGGTGCACAGACAGCCAGGGGGCAAGGGCAGGCGCCGGACCCTGTCTTGGCATTGGCTTCCCCAGCACGTGAGGGCTGTTTCCGGAAAGTGGGTGCGGAGACGTGTGTTTGCCAGCGAGCTGAGGAGAGGAGAGTGGCCCTTCTCTGGCCCTGGATTTAGAAGCTGTCTGGGGCATCCATCCTGCAAGTGGGAACCTCCTCTGGCTGGAGGATGAGTCTGCCGGTCTCAGTGCTGAGCCTGGGAGTGGGAGGAGGGCAGGCAGGGGATGGAATGCTGCCCGGTGACCTCCAGGTGGCCCCAGAGTAAGATGCCATGGTTGGGGTCTGCTCCTGGGACATGGTGAGCCTGACACCAGCCAGTGCTGACCGGGGCTCTGAGGCAGTGCTGGGAAGCAGGGCAGCCCTGTGCTCCTGAGGTGACTGTGGTGGGTCTGGTCTCCAGGGATGGGCCTGCCTCCAGCATGACCGTCGTCCAAAGGGTTAAGTCGACAGAGGCTGGGGGGCACCGCCCAGTGGAGGTGGCTCGAGGGGTGGCCCCACCTGGTGTCCCCTTGTCTGGGGACAGGGCTTCCCTCTGCAGCTGTTCCGCTGAAGAGCGGCCCACTGACTCCGAGCCTGTTGTCTTCTCCCTTCCTGGCCCAGTCGAACATCATTGCCTGGCTGCGGAAGGCCCTGGAAACAGACCGGAAGGATTGGGTGAAGGAGACTGAGCCTGAAGCCGACCAGGACGGCTACTACCAGACCACGCTCCCCGCCATCGTCTTCCAGGTGCGCCTGGCCTGGGCCACTCCTGCGCGGCCTGGGTCTGCGGGCTTGCAGCACACGAGCCTGCCTGTGCAGAGATGGCGAGAGCCTGCCGCTCTCCGGATTTGAGGACCCGGGGGCCGGGCTTGCCAGCGCTCCGCAGTCCCATGGTCGCTGTTGCTGTTTTCCTGATGTATTTGGTCTTAAGCTGGAACCTGACTATATGTTACGTGTGTGTGGTGCTCAGGTTTGAGTTTGCTTGCTTGTTTCTCGATGTAACTGCCCAGGATTTGTCTTCGTGAATGCTACCTAGGTGCATAAGCTGACGCATTTAGGGACAAGCCCTCTAGATTTCAGCCGTCACTACGAGTGCGTTTTCGCAGCTGGCCTACTTCTCGGTGCCCGGCACCTGCTGGTGTCCCCTGCTTTCCTTCTTCTCCTGGCCGCCCACCTTCCTCTGATAACAGTAGCTGGTGGTGGGTGGGCTGAGTCGACTTGGGATGGTCTCCTTCTGCTGACACGGCTTGGCCGCCCGCCGGGCTCTGGGTGATCCTGCTAGTCAGTGGCACACCGGGCTCCCCCTTCCCCTCATTCTGGGGTGAGCTCTGCCCTCTGGCCCTTCTCCATCTTTCCACATCTGGCTCCCCGCAGCTCCTGTGTGTCCTAGTTCTCAGGAAACCCACGTCACAAATGACAGCCCAGCCCCTGGTTCCCATGCGACCCCAGCCGCCCCGATCCCCAGGCCCCTCGTCTCCTGGTGAGAACGCACACTGTCCCCTTTGTGGGCTAGCCTTTGCAAGTGATGAGGAAATGATTCACTAGGTTTTACACAGCGGGAAAGTTTTGTTTGTTAACTAGCTTTATTGTTTTTCAAGCGGGTTCGTTTTTTTCTCTGAATTTGGATCATCTTAACTACCAGGCAGCAGGTGGGGGCTTACATAATGGGAAGCTTGCACTCTTGTGAGTTTGCATCAGAATTCATAAGTTCTCCAACTTTCAGATGTTTGAACAGAACCTTCAAGTCGCTTCTCAGATAAGTGAAGATTTGAAAACGAAGGTACTAGTTTTGTGTCTTCAGCAAATGAACTCTTTCTTAAGTAGGTACGTATTCTCGCCAGTGTGCTCGTTTAGAGTGCGTGTGTGTGTGTGTTAATGAAAAGCAAACATCTATAGCAAAGAATTCAACCCTGGATTCCCTGTAGATACCTCCTTTGTCACGTAGACTTTGAGCCTCTTCCTACTATCTTCCCTTTGAACTGATTCCACATCCCCTGAGGTCCCAGACGTGCTTTTGGCGTGGGGGGGCGCTGCCACAGTGCGGCGTCAGAGCCCCCTTCAGGCAGCGTCCTGTGTCCTGGTTCCACCGCCAGCAGAGCCCGCCTTCCACGGCAACGCCTCCTCCCTTGGAATTGTTCCCAAGGAAGGTTTTCCAGTGTACACAAGTGTAGGAAGAACGGCGTAAAGAACTTACCCCATCGTCTTGGTTCAAAAGCCGTTCCTTTGAAGCCACCTCGCCTCTCCTGGTTTCCCTCCCCCACTCTGCTGAAGTACAGGTGACTTGAACGATGGGCGGGACGCTGACCGCCTGGGGCAGCGGGAGTGCACGCTCACGGCCCTGCAGCCCTGCCATCAGGGTTCTGCACCCACACTCAGCCCATCTCAGATGGCGCGGTGCTGTCATGAGAACTGGCGGTGTGTGAGCGGACCCGCGCTGTTCACACCCACGCTGTTCCAGGGTTGGCTGTACTTTAGAGCAAATCCCAGACTTTGCAGCCTTTCATCTGCTGCCCTAACTACCGTGCCACTGGCCCGTGTGAAACGTGCACAAGCCTTCTGGGGGCCCATCCGGTTGGGGGCCCATCCGGCCGGGGGCCCAGCCAAGTCTGTGTTGGGTTTTCCTGCTGGTCTTGAGCCTGTCTGCTTATAGCTGTGTGCTCGGACCAGGCTGGCAAAGGCTCTGCCTCGTGGGGCACAGTACAGCAGCCCCCCAGGCCCCTGGTTTGTGGGGACGCACAGGTCATCCTACACAGCATCGCCTGGCCTGGCCCTCGAGGGGCTGTTTGCCCCCAACCACAGGTTGGCTCTGAAGGCTGTGGGGCTCCTCTGTGCTTACTCACTGCTTTGCAAGGGCCTCACATTGTGTCTGTCAGGGGACGCAAGTCCCTTGTCCCTCGTTCTGCTCTGGTGGCTCAGTGCTGACAGCAGGCCCCTCACCTAGAACCCCGTTGGCTGGCCATCCAGGGGGTCAGGGCCTGAACCCCCAGGCCTGTCCGTCTGTGATGGTCGTGGCCTGAGTTAGACACCTTGTTGGAAGAATGAGGTGGGATTTTTCCACAAAGGGGAAGTTTTCCTCATCAGCCTTAGTTGTTTGATTACCTGAGCCCCACTTTGGACAGAAAGGTGGAAAAATGCTTTATCACGTCCCTTCAGTTGCCCATTTTCAGTTTGCTCTTTTCTTAAGATCTACTGAAAATACACATGATGTGTTTTACTGTCCTTCTGCCCCACGCATTTGAGAATCCCCATCATAAGTTCAAAACGAAATATGTGGGTATCTCAGTGGTTTGTGTTCTTGACACCTTAAAGAATCTAAGTTATTTTTAATTTGATTTTTTCAGGGAAAGTTTCAGAAAAGGACATTTGTCTGACATTTGGTAGTGTTCCCAACACTGTTGTATGAGTTTCTAGATGAGTTATATGTCAGACAAAATAAAGCTTTCCCAGTTACTTGCATGTATTTCAGAATGTTTCTGTAATCAAAATATGAGCCACATTTCAGAGCCTGATGTGAAATTAAATTTTAATCCATGTAAGATGATTAACTTCTCTGTTCTTCTGTTAGTGTAGTTTGCCTCCGCCCTACAAATGTTTTGTTTTTGAAGACTCACCTGGTCAGACATTAGTGATGCAGAACTCATCTGTCAGGCTTAATGTCTGCATGGTGCCGCAGACCCTCGGGGTTCTTCTGTGTTCTGATGCGGGCTGTGTGTGTCCTCAGGTACCGGGAGGAGGCGCAGGTGTACAAGGAGGAGCACCTGAGGAACCGGCAGCACCCGCACTGCTACGTTCAGTACATGATCGCTGTCATTAACAACTGCCAGACCTTCAAGTGAGGGGCCTGGGGGCACTCCCAGGGCGGGGGCAGGACAGGATCAAGGTCCCCTCACCCAGCCCTCACTGCTTCCTTGCAGAGAATCCGTAGTCAGTTTGAAGAGGAAGTATCTGAAAAGTGAGGGGGAAGCAGGTGTGTCCCTGAGCCAGCCGAGCATGGACGGGCTTCTGGACGCCATCGCCAAGGAGGGCTGTGGCAGCCTGCTGGAGGAGGTCTTCCTGGACCTGGAGGTGGGCACTTTCTCCTCCCACCACAGGCGGCCTGAGCCGCGTGCACATTTGTCTGCAGCGGGGGTCAGGCCTGTGCTTCTCTGGGCCGTGGGTGCTGCGTGGGACGCAGGCCTGCATTGGGGGCCTGCTGGCGGGTAATCGGGTAGAGACATCTGGTAAAACTCAGAGACCGAGCTACTCGGTGGAATGCCAAGTAGAAACAAGGCCGACTGTGCTCATTAGCAAATCCTCGATAGAAGAGCCAAACTGGGAGCATGTGCCGGCTGCACACACTTCACAAGGCCGGGCTGGGTTTTGAGCCAAGGTGCAGAACACTGTCTGGCCGAGTGCGCTCAGATCATGTCACAGGCACAACACACGATGAACAAGTAAGTGTACTTCAGAAATACAGGAATGGCTCAGCATTGTCTAGAATTGGTGGAAACCAGAATATACTTTAAAAATAGAACCGTGATCATCTTGGTCCTGCTGGGTAGGAACTCTTCGGGTGACTGGTGGGATAATTCTGTCATGTCTGTAATTTTCTCGAAAGTGGTTTAGAAAACAGATGACATGTATGCATTTGAAATTACTTCACGGTATTAGAAAAGACAACATGACAGGGAAATAGATGAAAGACACAGAGAACTATTTCACAAAGGATTATAAACGTCCTAAAATGAAACAAAACAGTCTTACGTGTCCTCTTCAGAGAAATGCAGATCAAACTGAATATTCCTGTTGCTTAGCAAGACAGCAGGGATTAGGAACATTGCTACCATGTGGGGTTGAGGGCACGAGAAGAGAGACTCGTATTCGCTGTAGAACTGTGAATCGGTACAGTGTTTGGAGACAGTTTGGAAACCATTATCAAGGTTTTAGCTGCATACTTTCTGACTGAGCAGTTCCACTTTTAGGAATTTCACCTAAAGACACAGTCATTGCAGCATTTTTTGCAATTGCAGAACGTGAGAAATTTTAACTATCTGTCAGAGTTGGTCAGTAACAGAGCATCCACATAATAAATGGACGTAGTCAGTTAAGATAAAATGTGGATGCACCGATACCTACACTGCGTGTAGCATAAATCTCATGTAGTTAAAGTGTGTATTTGCAGAATGTTACAGGAGTATTGCTGTCACAGTCGGAAGGAACGTCAGGCAGACGCAGGAATGTGGGCCCTGTGTGCCTCCCTCCCGATGACTCAGTCACGTGGGGACAGTGTCCAGGGGTGTTTTCTGTGGTCTGTGCTTTCAGCAACATCTCAGTGAACTGATGACAAAGAAGTGGCTGTTAGGCTCGAACGCCGTGGACATCATCTGTGTCACCGTGGAAGACTATTTCAATGATTTTGCCAAAATTAAAAAGCCTTATAAAAAGGTAAGAATGTGGGCACAGTCGTGTGGTGAGTCCAGCTGGCATCTTGTGTAGAGTTCAGTGTCACTAGTTCTTTGAAGTTCACGGGTGGTTTTATTAACCCAAGGCAGGTCAGAGACGTCCGTGCCTGAAGATGAGAGAGAGGTGGAGGTGACGGGGCATCTAATAACCTCTCTGCCCCCAACACCCCTCTAAAGCCCACACTGACCTGGCTGCAGCCCCAGGATCCTGTGGGTGGTAAGGACCCTCCAAAGGAGGGTGGGGGCAGTGGCCACGGGTCGGATCAGAGGCCTCTCCATGACCCTGCTCAGCCTACAACGAGGCTGCCGGCCTTTCTCCACCCGGCAGAGGCCTGGGAGCTGCTACCAGGCACAGGGGACACCCGGGGACCATGTGTGGAAGCCGCCTTGGCTGCCTGTCTCCCCAGGTCCCGTTCCCGGCCCGTGCTTAGATGGCTTTTCCCGGGGTGTCGGGGGTGTTCTCAGAGCCATGTGTAATTCTGCTGTCGTTGCTTTAAAGTCAGGCTTTCTGTCTGATGCTGGTTTATGGAAGTGAGTGGTTTTGGTATATGGAGCACTTTGTGGAACTTTCTCGCTGCCCCAGGACGTGTCTCCAGACCCCTTCAGTTCCCCCGTGGACAGTGGTTTCATCCTCTGGTTCTTACACGCCCGTGTGTGCTCTTCGTCCTGCAGCCCTGGCTTTGTCTGACTTTGTCTGGCTCGTAATCTTAAAGGAGATTCCTCTAGCCCATCCCCCGGTGGTCCCTGTACAACTGTCAGGGAACCTTTGGTGATTTAGAGGTCAGTGGGGCCAGCTCTGGTCAGTTTTGAACTTCCTGTTGCTTGTACAGCTTTTGGTTCCACCTTTTATTTTTAGACACTGTGGACTGGGATTTAGTAGTTGGTGTCTGATGTGCCCCTGTGTGTCATCCTTGGGCTCGGGCTTGTGGGCTCAGCCAGCCCCCAGCCTGGGCGGCTGCCTTGGCACACACGGCGCTTCACCTGGCTCAGCCACGGGTCCCTGCAGCTGCTGGGTGCCGTCTCCCCTTGTCTCGCGTAGAATGCCCCAACTCGGTGCGGGGAGCAGAGCCTCTCAGCCTCCCCACAGACCCGACTCCTGGGCTCTGGGCTCCAGTGCCTCACATCACATCCTCGTAGCTGTGCTGGCATGTTTGGGGTGACTGCCCAGGTCCATCTTCCACTAAGAGTGGGCTCCCCAGAGGAGTGTGGTCTTCTCTGAAGCTGACCTCCACACGTGGGCTCGGGATTCATCTTCCCTGAAGCTCCTGTCCCACCACATCCAGAGGCTGGCAGCTGGTCAGCCTTCCGTGCACGAGGTGCAGTGTGTGCTTCCTGCGCATTAGGCCTGTGCGCCCTTCCACCTGTGAGGGGCAGAGTGGGGGTCTGGCCCAGGTCCCGACTTCTCCCACTGAACCCACACTCCATCCTGGGGGTAGGAAGCTCAGAGTCGCATACAGGACGGCAGAGCGAGGAGGAGTAGACCCGAATCCCTCCAGGCGGCCCGTGAGCACTTGGACGGGTCTCTGCAAAGCTGGTGCCACGCCAGCGCCCACTCCTCGCATGTGGCGGGAAGCCGTCCCGCAGTGAGTCTGCCCCTAGGGTGACGCGTTGGTGAGGCTGCCAGCCAGCATCCCTCCGGGAGCGTGATCCTGCTGGCTTTCTGGAATGGACACACACATCTCTGCGCGAGGCAGGACCAGCGGGCGCCACCCCGCGAGGCTCGTGGCCAGCCAGTGCATCTGCCTGTGTTGCAGACACAACCGTTTCCACCTTCCTTTCAGCATTTATTTTACGGAAAGAGTGAATGCCGCTGGGATTTCCTAAAATGGCGATCATAATAAAATCACAGACGTGCTTGTTTTGCTTGATTTGTTCACTCTGAACCGTGTGTCGGTGACAAGTGGGAAGGACGCGCTGGCCCGGTCATGTTGGCTTCAGCCTGACTTAGTGCCCAAGTCTGACCGTGTGTCTGCCCCTCAGAGGATGATCGCCGAGGCGCACCGGCGTGTGGTGGTGGAGTACCTGCGGGCCGTCATGCAGAAGCGCATCTCGTTCCGGAGCGCTGACGAGCGCAAGGAGGGTGCCGAGAGGATGGTCCGCGAGGCCGAGCAGCTGCGCTTCCTGTTCCGGAAGCTGGCGTCTGTGAGTGCCGCCCGCCCGCTGCCCGTCTCAGGCCCTGGCCAAGTCAGGGCAGTCCCGCCGCCTGTTGGTTTCCATCCTTAGGACCTTTTGGGCCAGTCAGTCGGGATCAGTCACGTCAGGAACCAGCTCACCTGTTGGTTTCTTCTTCTGTAAACTGACCCTGTGGTTGAGGGCCAGGCACTGGGGACGGCGGCTCATGAGAGGTGCCTGGCGCATCCTGAGCTGCGGGGCTGACTGCAGGGCCCAGTCACAGGCCAGGGTGCTCCCACCCATCTCCCCACCCCATCTCTGCTGGGTCCTCCTGCGAGTGCATCCTGAGGTGTTTCCCTGAAAGAGGTAGGTGCCAGGCTTGCCGGCTAGGTGGCCTCGGCCGGAGAGGGTGTGACAGAGACTTGGGCATGTGTTGTGCTGAGCGTGTCCACGCCCTGTCTTGCAGGGGTCTGGGGAGGATGTGGACGGGTACTGTGACACCATCATCGCCGTTGCAGAAGTCATCAAGCTCACGGACCCTTCTCTGCTCTACCTGGAGGTCTCGACTCTGGTCAGCAAGTACCCAGATATCAGGTAAGGTGGGGCCCTTTCTGAGATCATGGGGAGGAGGGAGAGCCTCAGGCAGTAGGTGTGAGCCTGGTGGGGTGAGTGTGGCGGGTCTGGGCTCCTGCAGGGACCAGCGTGCAGATGCAGTGTGGGTGGAGTGGGCCTGGGACACAGTAATGGTGCAGCTGAGCCGAGGTTCACACACCTCCTGGTGTCGGACGGAGCCAGCGTCACTGGGCTAGTGCAGTGGGGGGAAGCCGGCAGAGCAGAGTGGTTTTGGGAGGCTCACCTTGTGCTGTGCTTGAGGTGGATTCAGAGATGGAAGCCAGGGCCCCTCCGTGTCAGGGGTAAGGAGGGAAGGGCTGTAGGCTTGCTGGCTCCCCACTGCCTCAGCCGGCCCTCTCTCTCTGCCATTGCTCTGGGCTCGTGTTAGTGGAGAGAACTGGTGGCTGTGCGCCCTCCAGGTCCTCCCGCCCTAACTAGGCTATCCATTCAGCAAACATTCAGAAAAGCAACGCTAAAAACCTGTGCAGTTGTAGACTGAAAAAAAGACCAGGGTAAGATGGAAACTCAGGCTTTAGTGCCCCTGGTGTGACAGGGGAGACGCCTTTTCTGGAGCCCTCGGTGGGGGACTAGAGTCAGCTTGGGCTGAGAGGCTGCAGGTGCACCCCTGACGGCCCTTCCCCAGGGACGAACACATCAGTGCCCTGCTGGCCATGCGTGGGGACGCCAGCCGGGACATGAAGCAGACCATCATCGAGACGCTGGAGCAGGGCCCAGCCCAGGCGAGCACAGACTACGTGCCCATCTTCAAGGACATCGTGGTTCCCAGCCTGAATGTGGCCAAGCTCCTCAAGTAGCCAGTCCTGACCCACCTTGGGTGTCGTCCGGGGCAGCCCAGTGAGCAGGGCTCGGGGAGGAATGCCCTCCTCACCTCTGCACTGTGCACACACATCCGAAACTGCTCAATAAAGAGTAAACTGCAGGGAAACAAGGATGTCTCATTTTAGGGTTTCTTCCTGGCCATGGTTCTGTGACACCCAGAAGCTGCTTTAGGTTGTCAGACACATGACCTCTGCCAGGGCCCCGCCTGGAGCCCCCACGTGCCCCTAGAGTTGCGGCCTCTCTTCTGCCCCCTTGCCCGCTGGGGTCGGCTGGATCTGGCGGCCCCCCCGACTCCACGGGGCAGACCTGGCGTGGGCGGTATGGCGGGTGACCCTTGAGCGCCAGGCCTGTAAAAGCGGACATGGATGCAGACGTTTGGTGCGTGTTTCAGGTTCTGCGAGCTGCTGTTCCTGACAGTCCCTGAGCCTCCTTTTCTGTCCCTACACAGCTTCTGCCTCATTTTTCAAATCAGTCGTTACTTTTACACTAAGTTAATTGCAAGGCTACTTCTGGAGTAAATGTGAGCCCTCCTGGCTCCAGCTGGACAGCTTTGCTCCGCCGGGCCGGGCCTGGGTTGGTGCACGCTGACGGCTCTGGCTGAGGGGTGGAGGAGCTCGCCCCGCTGCTCCTCCGGCAGGTGCCCTGCATCCCGGTTTCAGGAGGGAGAGGCGTCCGTGGTGGACGTGCCGTGTCCCGCCTTCCCCTGTGGGATGTGTGTGCGGTGTTGATGCTGGGTGAATGCTGTGCTCTTATTTCACCCTCAGTAGTTGTGAACATTTCACAGGCAGGACTTCCTGCCTCCTCCACCGGCCTTGTCTTGAGCCTGCAGAGGCCCCTGCCTTTCCTCCCAGGCTCTAGACCCTGCTGTCCTGGCCCACTTTCTTCCAGCCCCGGGCCCACCTGCTTTGGGCCACTCGGGTGTGGCAGGAGCTTTATCCTCCCACTCTGGCTGGGTGGGGCCTGCTCCTGTGTGCAGTGAGTGGTGTGTGTCCACTGTCTCTACTGGGGAGGGACTAGTTCCCAGGGCCCAGGTGGTGCCGGAAGCCTCTTTGTTCAGTCAAGGGGCTGTCACGTGTGCGCGCGCACACATCCAAGGCAATCTCAGCGCCAGGATGCTGTCTGCATGCAGGAGATGGCTCCTTAAATCCTCCTTGATATGATTTCTCACTTAGAAACAAAGTTTTCACCCCAAAATGCCTTAAAACATTTTTAATAGGCTTTATCAAGCAGTCCTTGTAGGGTCTGTGGTGGCCCCCTGCCCGGACACTGCCAACAGCACGTGGGGCAGCTCTTTAAGGCACGTTGATTGTGATTAGGGTTACACAGTCTGACTAGATTACATTCACAGAATTAGCATCCACAATTTTCACCCCTCCTAACTTAAAATACATTTCAGTGAAGTTCCTCCATTAAGTCTCCTTTCACAATAGAAGACCAACAGCACAGTTGTGTGAGCACTGTTACAAAATTATTTTCAAGAAAATACGGACGTGAGAAATGACTCCTAAATTTGTGTCTACCACAAAGTAGGCCAAAGTTCAGTATTAAATAAATAGGAATTCTTTCCTAATAAAAGAATTGATAATGGTTTTCCTAAGGAAATACATTCATAAGACTTTGTTTACATTGCTTTACAACGCTATGAAACGTACCCCCAGCACTAGGGTTTATAACACTTGTGTCACCAGACCAGTCTCAAGCCGAAATGGCCTGGAACCTCCGTTCGGGTATCTGTACTTAGCTGTGCAGGTCAACAAACAGGAAACCTGCCCACCCACCACAGAGGACACCGGCCACAGAACTGGCCCAGGAGAGGTTTGTCACCTGGCGGTTTAGTATCTGCAGCGTCCAGTGGGCGTCCAGGAACCGCCCCGAAGCCACTTTCCCCAGCTCAGCCACCGGCTCTGCAGCGGTGAATCAGCCAGCGGTCCAGGGAGTTGTTAAGGCAGCTGGAGATGCTGGACCAGCCAGGCTGTGGACTCCGGACGACCCACTCCCGCCGAGTGTAGGCAGAGCTTGTACCTTCCTCCAGGTTTTGTTAGACAGACAATGGCTGGATTTTGTGCTCACGGGGTTGCTCAAAGTGGATGTGAGTGTGGGGAACAAGCCCTGGAAAGCGCATATCCCTCCTGTACTGTGACGACTGGGCCAGTGGTTCCAGGAGAGAGCAGATGTGCCATCAGCCTACAGAGCCGACTGGGCGAACACTGCGCCTTCCCTGCTGTCTAGTGTTTTTCTCAACAGCAAAGTGTAAACTTCCCATAAGAGATCGATGTGCAGCTCTGAAACCACAAACTGCTTGTGATCCTGGCCTGTGACGCAGTGAGAACTACATCGTGGGAATGTGGTCTCAGCACAGCATGGACGGTTCCCTGAGCAGGACTGAGCCTGGCTTTAGAGAAGCTTCTACGAGTCCACTGTCCTTTACTGCCCCACAAGTCCTCATCTGAGGAGGTGAGGGCCACCTCCCTGCCTCACTGCACAGTGCCTTACCTCTCCCCTCCAGAGAACTGGGGGCTCTGTCCAAGTCCCCTTGGCTCCCCAGCAGTGGTGAGATGCCTGAGCAACCGTCCGGCCCGGGTCCATTGAAAGACCTGCTGAGATTCTAAACAAGACTGCTGAGCAGAGGCCTCATCCACTCTGCTGGGGCTGTGTGGGCACACCCATGCAGCTGGCACAACCCCCTAACCAGCCTGGGCCATCTGCCAGTGTCAGGCAGGACCACTCAGGCCAGACACCAGGTGTCTGGGGACAAGACAGCACCCAGTGCCCAGAGGTCACCACACCAAGACTAGGGTGTGCAGGACAAGCCCTGGGGCTGGGCATCTCAGCACAAAAAGGATGCTCCAATAGGATGTTCCTGCGGTTGCACCTGTAGCCCATCTGACAGGTGGCTGAAAGACCGGGTGAGTGGACATGAAGATACCCCACAGCCCGCCCTGGGGGGGAGGCTGTTGCCCTCCCTGGGTGCTTGGAGAGAGGCCAGCCTTGGTCTGGAATCCTAGGTTGGTATCACACTAGGTAAATCTCATTTTGTTTGGGTCTCAGTTTCCCCAGCACTGCTGATGAAAATGGACACGAGGTGGCAAGAACTCAAGCAGAGAATATCCCTGAGTCAGGATGACAATGGAAACAGTAACACACAAGTGCCAGATCAGTTCAAATACAGGACAGGTGGACAGAGGGACCACAGTGGAGTCTCCTGGCAAGAATGCCCGCACTCAGAAGGTGGAGGAGGCACATGGCCCACTCCCGGGCCCAGAGGGGCCTCTCCATACAGACCCCAAGGAATTCGGAGATTCCAGGCCTTGCAGCACATTTGGTCCCCTGAGAGTCCGGCTCCTGTCCATCTGAGCACTCACCTGGATGGGTGAGTGCCCAGGGCTACTCCAGGCCACCGGAAGACTCCTGGGGAGTGAGGCCATGGAAGGGATGACTCCAGGCAATGACCCAGGGATGACCATGAAGGGATGACCCCACGTGGGCGCACCCGTGGCGCGTGGAGACCCCTGGGGGCGAGGTCGTGGCGGGGCATTCTGGGGCAGGGAGAGGTCATGTGTGCAAACCCAGGGTGGGGGCATCCATGGTGGGGTGGAGACTCCTGGGAGGCGAGACACCCCCGGGGCGAGGTCGTGGGTGCAGAACACGGATGGGCTGCCGTCACAGCGGCGTCTCCTCCTGCTCCAG